TGTTTTTATCTCGTTTTTAAACGTTCTAGCGAAAGAACAACGCTCGAGGACAAATATAGTAGGTTCTTTAGTCATGGAGCAGACGACATGATGAAATGTTACCGACAGTGACGTAAATCTCGAGGGAGTGTGCTTGTTCTACATACAGGTATGATTTCCACGTGTATCAACGGGTAAAGATAGAAATTTTAATATAAACCCCTTTTTCCTTTTTTGGATGATAGCCACCCAGCAGTCTGGAGCCGCAGTACGCCTAGTAGCTTTTTTTATTTACTAATTACAATTCGGAATTTTTAATTACTATTACGATAACGATATATTTATAGATGTTGCTGTACAATATGGTATACAACTTTAAATCAATCAAGGAACATATCCTTGTAGATATGTGTACATGACTTCTGATCTCTTCTTTCAGAAAATGGACTCCTTACTGTTGCTTGGGATTTTTGTAGTAATTCTAGTCATAATATTCCTGCTGATGCAGATGTACAGACACTATAGACTGCAGCATTATGAAGTACCAGCTAGGGACATAACAAAAGGGCACAAGTTCTACATGGTGGATGAGTTTCCTGAACAAACATACTGTAACATTGGTCACAATAAAATAAAGCATGGTGCTCGCTGTGACAGCTGTGGAATCTGTGTTGATGATCACAACATGAAAGAAGCCAATAAAAAAATTCCTTGTAAACCTGTGTCTGTTGAAGGTGATAGACTTGAACATTACTGGGTGCAGGGCAACCTGCCCTTATATAGTAAGTGCTCCACATGTAATGAGGATTGTGGAACTCTACCACACATCTGTGATAGAAAATGTGCATGGTGTCAACAAACTGTGCATGAAGAGTGCTCTCCTAAGTCGGACTTTTGTGATTTAGGACCTAACAAAACTGCCATAATACCACCAACTAGTATTAAGTTGAAAAGTGTTGGAATGAAAGGTCGTAAACGTCTTGTAATTAAAGAAGCTTCCATTCCTGACATTAAGAACTGGAGTCCCTTACTTGTGATTGGAAATCGTAAAAGTGGCAATAATGATGGAGAGTATATTCTAAGATCTTTCAAAACCTTGCTAAACCCCACACAGGTACTACAAATTATATTTTTTCAGTCATTTGAAAACGGGCAGTTTGCAACATATTTTTTGACAATCAGATGAGGGTTACTTTAAAGTTTATAAAATCTTTCTTCTTCCTACTTTGATAGGTTATAGATTTGAATGATGATTCTCCGGAGCATGCATTAGAATGGTGTCGATTACTGCCCTCTGTCACATTCCGAGTATTAGTTTGTGGTGGGGATGGAACCATTGGCTGGGTACTGAATGCCATAGAATCCTTAAAACTGCAGGTAATAACATATTATTATTATCAGTTTTGAATCTTAAATAAAGATTAAAGTTTTTACATGGAAACTCAAAGTGAAAGTAATGGTCGTTTGCTTCTATCTTGAATGAGAATATGTCATCTCAATTTCTTTGCTTAATACATGTAAACCAAAACAAAAATCGTGAGTACCTCGCAGTCATCTAACTTACTACCACTCTTTTGGGGAGGAGTCGAGAAAGCTCTAAAATTTGCAAGATTATTGGGTAACATGGCATTGTTTACAGTAGAGTCAATCGAATGATTCGAACAATTTTAAACCGAAAGTACAATGTATCGCCAAGAAATGAACTCCAAATAGTAGACTGTCAAGTAAGTAAAGTTAAGAATATTTTATCAGCTTTAAACTGTGACAATTTTCAATGAAAATTTAATGAGAGGAGCCTGCTTAGTTAAAAATATTGTAAAAAATTAAAATTTAAGGATTAGCTCCTCTCCAAAATTAATTAGCTTGGTTCAGTGATTGTTTAGCAAGGTATTCCACCAGGATTTTTTTTTTTACTTATCTGGCCTTATAAATTCTACAGTGATTGATCTTGCATTGTATTCATTTCAATGGCACATTTGCCCGATTCCTATCTCCATCGTGAAAGACTTCCGCTAAGTTATGTAATCGAGATATCAAGTATTTGACATGCATGTTCTGTAAACATGTTTCATTTTACTGTGTATTCTTTTTAGCATCTTTCGCAGAAGCACCTTTTGCTATAAATTATTGCTAAATATTTTATGTATGCATATACATTTTTATGTATTCTTATAAAGTATATCCATAAAACACAAAATTGAATCTATGCTTACTTGTTGAAAAAGAATTTTTGCCAAATATTGTACAATATGAATTAAATGCAGTAATTGCAAAAAAACCCTATTGAAACAGAAAAGCATGTAAAATGTAGTTTAATATGTCTGTATTTTCAAAATGTAATTGCTGTAAGAAATACCTTTTATAAATTAAACTATTCATTTTATGTCTTTTTCAGAATCCCCCTCAAGTGGCCATTTTGCCCCTAGGGACAGGAAATGACTTATCTCGAGTGTTGGGCTGGGGGGAGGGCTACACTCATGAAGACCTTGCAGATGTTAATGATTTTATGACAAAACTTCAGGAGGCTAAGCCTGTAAAATTAGACAGGTAAAAATATCTTTAAACACCCCTGTAGTGCTTTTGTACCACTGTTTTTTTTTTTTATTGTATACTGTGAAATCATTTAAAATTGGTGAGGAACAATTGATTTTCACAGGTTCAATTCTTACAGGTTCATGTGGACAAAATTTTGTGTATTCGCTCATACATGTACTTATAAAAGGAAAACTGGCTTTTTAAACCTTAGTTTATCAATTTGTGTAGTAGACATGTATTAATTTATGAACATAATGGATGTAGGGTACTTGAGCCACCACGGAATATAATGATTCCACAGTTAACACAACAGATATTCATTAACCACTGAAATCTGAAAGGCAAAATCATTATTCAGTGTTGAAGGTAAGATACAAATGAACACGTTTTTGTTAGTGTAAAAAGGATGATTAATATTTCTTTTTTATGATTTGAAGGTGGGCTGTGCGGATAATCAATACAAAGAAAGTGATAGGAAAAGTGAAAAAAGTGAGTAATATTCATTTTAACCTTCTTTTTTAAATGCTTGAAATTTTGTATTGTAACAGTTGCATACTTTTTTATGTGTTTCTCAATAGAAAATATTACATACTAAAATTCATATCATGTTACATATTAGCCCTAGGGCTGATAGGAAAAATGATATTGATAGTATGTAGTATCCTAATTTGTACTTTTTTAAATGAATCTTTACAATTGATTAAATTGAGTGTATTGTATTGAAAATTTTAGTAGTCCTGCAGGACAAGCCTTAATTTTCAGTTGTCCTGGACTGGTATGCTATCATAAGTGTCAAACCCTTTCTATACAGTACAGGAAAATAATTTTGTTGTTGTAGATAATCATGAACAACTACTGCTCTCTGGGTGTTGATGCACTAGTGACCTTGAATTTTCATCGTCAGAGGGAATCAAAACCTTGGTTGTTTGCACACAGACTAATAAATAAGGCATGCAAAGAAACAAAAAAATAACTCTTCAGCTGTTTTTGACCAAAAGTGTACTGTCTATATAGTTTCAACCAGACGCTCGGCTGTCTTCGTAAGCTCCGACGAGCTCCGTGACGTCATGTGACATCACAGCTAGTCAAGATGTCTCGTGCGGCTAAAATGATGTTTGAAGTGGCTCAGATCAATTTTTCAAGTGTTTTTGATAGTACAACTGCGCTCGCCCCAACGGTCAAACCGTAAAACATATTTTCAATTTTGCAGATTTTTTATTGACCTGGTCAATCGGTGTAATTGTACCTACAATACCCGAATAAAAGTCATAGTAAAGGTTCAATTATCTCTTACTTCACATCATCACCAATCTTTTTCAACCAATGACCTTGTTTAAAATATATACGCATGTATTACAGCAATTACCATCTTTTCAGCTGTCAAATCATGTCAACTTTCGCAGGATTTAAAAACGAAAGTAGAATGTTAGATGAATACCGATCCCGATCAGAATTTAGACAAAGAAAAACAGAAATAAAAAAATCGAGGCGGGGGTATAAAATCGGGGCGGGCGGGGATGAGAATCTAGGAATATTTTTATTATGGCCTTATGATGTAATTTTTTTTCTTCTCTTTGTAGCTTTGTTATTTCTATTATGGGACCAAGGATGTTTTAGAAAATGAATGTAAAAATCTACATAAAAAAATTCAGGTACTTATTTTTTGGGTATGATAATTTTTGTATAACAAATGTCTATTATAGCTTCTCTGGCAAGATGTAGCATCTATATAAAGTATGTTTATTACCTAAATACGGTAATAAAAATTGTAAAATAACATCTGTATAAAGTATGTTTATTACCTACATGCAAATATGGTAATAAAAAATTATAAAATACAGTGGAACACAGTTACAACAATCATGTTCATAGTGAATTCCTAATAAATTCATGCTTATAATAAAGTAAATCGTTTTCTGCATTTTTAAGATATAATTTAGGTTTATAATGAATTTTAAACAAAATTGCAACCAACTTTCAGCTATAAACATGTTATATCATATATGCTCATTTAATTTACCATAAATTTGTAATGCCAACTATTTTAAATTTATTGAAGAACGTGTATATGATTGGTATGGTCTACATTGTAAATAAATAAATAAAAGAATGATTTTGGCCAGGTGGAATTGGATGGACAGTTGATAGACTTACCTGAGATAGAGGCCATTGTGATCTTGAATATCAGCAGCTGGGGAGGAGGATGTCAGCCCTGGGGAGCAGGACATGACGAGAGTAAACAGTTGAAAGCACCCAGGTGTGTAAATTTAAGAACAGGGATTCTCTTAAGAAATTTTAAGGACAGAATTAAACTTGTATGTTGACATGGTGCAAATATGTTACGTACAAGAAATATTGTGATCTGTATTTTAAAAAAAAAATGCCATTTTCATTGCAGATACAATGATGGCATACTGGAGGTGATGGGGGATATTTCCTTCCATATTGCCCAG